CTCCATGGTCCACACTATCCTGATGACCCGCTTGTCCTTTTGCACCAATAGGATCCCACACTTCTTCTGTGACATTAATGCCTTGATCAAGCTCACTTGTTCAGATACTCAAGTCAATGAGATGCTGGTGTTGGTCCTTGGAGGCCCAGTGGTTCTGATCCCTTTTGTGTACATCATGGCCTCTTACACACCTATTGCTGTGGCTGTGTGGAAGTTGCCCTCTGCCCAGGGCAGGTGGAAAGCATTCTCCACCTGTGGCTCTCACCTTTGTGTTGTCTCTCTGTTCTATGGGACTATCATTGGAGTCTACTTCAACCCTGCGTCCACACACACCACTCAGAAGGACATGGCTGCCTCAGTGATGTACACCATGGTCACCCCCATGCTGAACCCCTTCATCTACAGCCTGCGGAACCGAGATCTGAAGGGTGCCCTCAGGAGACTTCTCAGTAGGAATCCCTTTGCTAAGCCTCTCTGAAGACTCTTTTTAGACCCAACTGATTTTGAAATAAACTAATGCTTCCCAAAGTTAGAACTCCCAGTGGTTTTTCTTTTTTCTTTTAAAAGGAGAAACAAAACTTTTATTATTCATGTAATTTATTTTTATTGAATATATTTACATATAACCTTGAATAACTTTAAGGTGTAGAAAGCATTAATTCAATACATTTATACACTATAATATGATTTCCATTGTAGTGATATTTAGCACCTCTATCACATGACATACTTGTTCTTTCTTTTTACTGGATGGGATAATTCAGTTTTAGTCTTTCAGCAAGTTGGAGGATTGTAGTACAATATTGTTGTCTATGTTAACTGTACTGTGCATTAGCTCTCCATGGCTTATTTACTACTCAATGCAAGTTTGTACCCTTAAACAACATCAATCTTTTCACCCCACTTCCCATTCCCTGGTAACTACCATTCTATATTTCACCAGTTTGACTTTTCTAGATTCCACATACAAGTGATATCACATAGTACTTGCCTTTCTCTTTCTGACTTATCTCACTTAGCAAAATGTGCTCAAGTTGCATCCATGTTGATGCAAATGACAGGCTATCCACCTTTCCCATGACAGCATTTTATATATATATATGTATATATGTATACATATATACATATATATATAAAATATAAATATGTCTGCAATTATAGATATATATCACATCTTTTTAATCTATTCATCCAGTGATGGGCACTTAGATCATTTCTGTATCTTGGCTATTATGAATAATGCTGCAATAAACATGGGAGTATATATATATATTGAAATTCTGTTTTAATTTCCTTTGAGTATACACCCAAAAGTGGAACTGCTGGATTGTACTGATATATTTATAATCTTCTGAGGAATCTCCATGTTGTTTTCCACAGTGATTGGACCAATTTACATTCCCATCAACAGTGTGTAAGGGTCCCTTTCACCACATCCTTGCCAGTGTCTGTTACCTCTTGTCTTCTTGATGATGGCAGTTCTAACAGATGTGAGGTGTTATTACCTTGTGATTTTGATTTACATTTCCCTAATGATTAGTGATGCTGAGCATCTTCTTATGTGCCTGTTGGCTATTTTGATGTTCTCTAAAAAAAATCAAGTCTTAGAAAAATGAGTTAAAACCCAACCTGAAATATTTGCACAATGCTTTTTGTAGATTAATATTTGAGAGTTTGGCAAACTTGTGTAAATGCCCAGCTGGTAAATATTTTCAAGTTTACAGGTCACGCTATCTCTGCCTCAGTTATGCAACTCTGCCATTGTAGCACAAAAACAGCCATAGATAATACGTCACACAGGCATGACTGTGTTCCAATAAAACTTTATTCATAAGAACAGGCAGTGGACCCATATGCTCTAGTTTTCACCACTAAACCTATAATATAAAATCTTTAGAAGAAACCAAAAAGAATGTTTCTGGTAGAAACAGTATTAAGGCACAAGAAAGAGAAGGCAAAACAAAAAGACTGGTAGGCTAAATTAGTATTTAGAACCTCTAATAACATGCCTGCAAAGCAGTAAGAACAAAAGAATCTTAAAAAAAATGAGCAATGGCTTTAAATGGGCATATCAAAAAGGCAACCCATATGGCAAATGAACAGTAGAGATTTTCCAATCCCACTAGTAATTAGGGAAATGCAACTTAAAGGACAGTGGGAAACCACTCGGCAACCTTATTGGCAAAATTAAGTTTCACACTGTCAAGTGCTCTTGAGGGCATGGGGAAACAGATTTCCTGACACACAAGTGCTGAGTGCCCAGCTACTTGGGGGTTGAATTTGACAATTCTCGTTATAGTTAAGATTCACATTTCTTACAACCTGTTCATCTCACTACTCATTTTGTGTTTGAATCAGATAGTGCCTGTTTGTAGTAGAAAACATACAAGGTTATGTATTGTATTATTCCTAATAATGGAGAAAAATTGGATGCAAACTGAGATGTCTAACAGTTAAATGTACCCTATATATATTTATAAATTTGAATATTAAATTGATTTTATAACAATGAGATGTTTCTTTGTGGTTAGAAACCTAGATGTGATTTTGCCCCAGAAGGGACATTTGGCTATGTCTCGAGACTTTGATGTCATGGCTGGTGCGGGGAGCCTACTGGCATCTAGTAGTTGAGATCTGGGATGCTGTTAGACATCTGGCAATGTTCAGACAGCCCCCACCACAAAGGAGGATCCCACCCTAAATGTCAACACCGCCAAGGTTGAGAACATTTAGTCTGTACAAACCAACATGAATATCACTCCAAAATGATGAGTGAAAAAGCCAAGTTGCAGAAAGGTACCTACAGGACAATCAGATCTGTGTTAAAACACAAAGTATGGAAAACAGTTTGGTGGTTCATCAAAAAATTGAAGATAGAATTACTATATGACCCAGCAATTTCACTCTTAGGTGAATTGAAAGGATTGAAAGGAATTCAATCCAATCTTTATACACAAATATTCATAGCAGCACTATTCACATAGCCAAAAGATGAGAACAATCTAAATGCTCATCAATGAGTGAACGAGTAAACAAAAGTGGTCTATCCATTCAGTGGAATATTACTCAGCTATCAAAAGGAATGAAGCACTGATGCATGCTATATGACAGATGAATCTCAAAAATATTATGCTGAGTGAAAAAAGCCAGACCCCATAGGCTATATTTTGTATGATTTCACTTATATGAGATGTCCAGATATGGCGAATCCATAGGAACAAAAAGCAGATTCGTGCTTGCCACTAATCTAAAGCTGGGGTTGGAGGGAGGACTGCTAATGAGATGTGATCTCCCATTTTGTGGGGGATGATTAAAATGTTCTAGACTTAGATAAAGATGGTGGTTGAGCAACATTGTGAATGTGCTAAATGCCTCTGAATCGTTCACTTTAAAGTGTTTAATTTTATGTTATATGAATTTCATCTCAAAAACAAAACAAACCCACAAAAAAGCACAACCAACCCCCAAAACAGTACTCTTATTTTATGTGTTTGTTCACCCATGCGTACAATGGTCTGCAACGATGTCCATCAAATTCACCATCATGATAGCATGGCTGGTCAACACATAGCTTTTATCCTGATTGGTAGAATTTCAATTATTTAATAAGAAAAAACAAATATATGTGTGCTGGTTTTTAAAAAGTTTAAAGATATTGAATTAGACAAATGACCTGAATGGGGAAGAAAGAAGGTGGACAGGCAAGTTGTGCAGCCTTGTCAGCCCCAGTGGCCAATGGCAGGACTGCTTTCCTGCTGATGTCAGGAACCAGGGCCCCAAATCCCAGA